TTCACGCGGGGCACGTGTCTCACGGTGAAACATAATTTCGAGTCCATCCAACCGAGCCGCTATTGTTAGTTAGCTCTGCGATTTTTCTCGAAAAACCAACTCAAACACTTTTTTTCACTGCTCCTCGCGTCGCATCAGAAAGTTCCATCTCGCTAATCAAATGGCAAAGTTCGTCGCATCGCTCGTCTCGGTGACCTTCGTACTAGGCTCGCGAGTTCTTTCTTAACTTTTTTTTGTTTCCCCAACGCGACGGGGGAAAAATTAAAATGACTCTTGGTGCAACAACGCGTCGTCTCATATCGAAAGTCGATCGAACAAACCGATTGAAGCTTATCTCGAAAATCGGAAATTCCACCGAGTACCGATAACGTTCGAAATAATACGAAAAGTGGTTAAAGTTTATTTTAATGAAAAATCTTAACAGTAAATTTCAGTGCAATGCAAAACAATAATGATTGTAGAACAAACAAAAACAACTCGTGCACGCCGACGTTTTAAAATTGTAAATTAAGGTGTCCACGGCGTACTTATAAATAGAAAGACAAAAGAATCACGAAAACAGTATTTCTTCTCTCAAACGAGAGCGGTGATAAAACACAATGAAAGATATTTTTATTGTTGGACTTTTTTAACCACACGGTACGAAATATTCTGACGGTCGCATCTTATGACTATACCCGGTTTGGATGTAGTTTTAGCAATCTAAGTACATGGAGACTAGAGAAGTGTAATACGATACCACGAAGACGTCAATTAAAACAGCTGATGAATACTACTCGATTCGCAAATGAGGCGGTGCATGCGAGCACGTCGTGATTGCGTCCATTATTTACGAGAAACAACGTTTTATCGTTGCATTTTAGCCAGTTTCACGTGACGTACCACGTGATGCTAAATTTGTTTGCTCTTAATACAACAAAAAGATGATATTAAGAGGATGCATTAATTGTCCATCTACAAAAAGATGCCCATGCAATGTACCACTGGCAAAAAAGACAATAAATTGATTTATGACAAAAAATACAAATAAATTATATTCATCGATGCTACATCGATTTATTGAGTAACGAATGCAACCATCAAGTTTCCTTTCTCCTGCACGCGCGAATATACATGCGGAGGTAAACTTCTCCAAATACAAATAATCTTCGTCTCTTGCACGCGTTCTCCCCAACAAAATAAAAAAGAAAGTCCTCGCGCCTCGGCGTGCCACTATTTTCGTCATTCGGTCGGGCAGTGGGCGTCGCTTGGGTTTCTCGCGACGCGAGTCCAAACTGATGTTTTATGAGATTTTTTACTGTGAGAAAATAATATTTACAGGCTCGATCATCTCGAGTAAATTTTGACTAATCCTCAAATTGCCCGAGATAAATCCGGAAATAAAAAACCTTTGAATTTTCTCACGCTAAAGTGCTAGCTCTCGCATCGCAATTTGACTCGAAGTTATAAAAATGATACATGTGCTCAACTAGATAGCAAGAGTTATGCGAGTACGAGGGGCGACGAAGCTCGTTAAACTCGCATCCATCATCCAAGAAGATTCAGCGACTCGGTCCAAACGAGCGCGACGCGTCGCGGCACTTTGTTTAACCCATGCAGGTACTACACATTAGTTGGCCGAGCGTGGCGTTGGGACAGTTTTCGTATCGGATTTCTGCCTCTCCTACACGGCGTTGTAAGTAAAACTTGGCACTCGAGGGCTTGCCAGTTGTCTTCTTTTGTATATATTATCAGTGTAGCCACAGTCCGTCACCAAAGTTGGCGCGATAAGTACTTTTTTTTACCCATACGATATCTGATGTCTTGCAGGTCCACGTACACGTATATTATACTTATTTATGGAGAAACGCTTCAAGTATATATTTGCTATGTTGCACTGTCAACCGAGGAGAAGACGCGCGGTGTTTTTGTAAAATTTCTTCGTCGACACCTACCTCCAAGATATTTTGTAGGTACATCTGACGAAAGGTACCACAAGCTCACCCTCTGGTAAATATACGTGAATGCATAATACATGATTCTCATGAAAATATTGCTTGCAGAGGCAAACAGGTGTGAGGTACTACTTATGTCCCATCGATGGAGGCATAGGCGGCCGGACGGCCTTGAGGACCGACGTACGGCAGGTATATATACCTATACTTGTAACGTTACATTGCCTCGAAGCGATAAAAAAAAGGAGCTGACTCGATCGAAAGTGGGAAAAAAGTCTTTGGGCAAAAAAGGAGCTTTCCTTTGATTCGGGCTTTACTTTTTGACTCAAAAGACAACGAAGCCTTGGGTGTTTATCACGTGAAAAAAAGCTCATCTCGCCTAACGAAGGAGAGAGATATTTGGCCGGTGGTGCGATGATCCCTTATAAAGGCGCACAAAGTGAGAGCGTGTATACGCGCCAACCCAGATCGCGCGAGCGCCGTGACCGATATGGGTGACCTACTGCATTCGGTCTCTCCGCGCCAAGGACGTTTCCTCGCATCGAAAGGAAAATCGCGATCGAGGCGCTCTTAAAGTGTATACATTTACTTATTTGTCTCTCGCTCCTTCCCCTCCTCTTCTCTCGTACCTCTATGGTCTATTAGTCGCCGGGGAAAATTTGAATTTTCCGAGCCTTGGCACCGTTAATACCTACACCTTTACAACATCGGAGGAACAAGTGCCTGACGCACCACGCTATGTTTTTTTTATTTATTTATTTTTTTTTTCACGAGATCTGTTTGAATTTCAGCGATCGCTTTCGACGACAGGTATACAACAGCAACAAAGGAAAAACAATGGGATGTTTTTGAAACAGTTTGAGAAAATTTATATTTAAACTTCGGTAAAATAAAAAGAAAAAAAAAAAAACTTTGTTAATTGTCTCGATGAATCAAAGCGCTTCGTGTACAGAAGAAAAAAAAATAAGCTGTTGGTAATCGCAAAATAGCTTTTCCGAGGAGGGAGAGCGAGCGAGATAAGGAATGCGAGGCCTTGAGATGTGGTCAGCGGGTCAGTGGCTCCCGCGTGGGCGTTTAAATGTCTCGACCGGTGCCAATAACCCTTTGCCCTCTCTCCTTTACATCGGGCGTTTCGCAAAGGTGATGCACAGATTTTTTTCCTTTTTTTATTTTTTTTTTATTTTTCTGTGAGATTGTGCAACAGTGACTTTGACGCCGCTGAAGTTGCACCCGGAAAATTGTGTGTGCAGGCAACAACGCCAAGGAAGTACAATTAAAAATTAGCAGATAAGGAAACTTGACGAGAGGCAGCCTCCTGAAATCGAGGAATCCAATTTATCATCAAGCTGCGCGCACACAAATCTTCGGATTACCATTATGATACGCGACGTTGGAATTTTCACGTAACGTTGTTGCAATCCATCAAAATCATCAAACAATTAGAGTTTCAATGATATGAAAAAAAAACATGTTGCTCTTTGGATTACAATATAATCCATTTTCTCAGGTATTGTCTCTCGAGAACGCGAAAGGAAAGATTTTTTTTTCCCCGCCACCTACCGAGCCGTAAATACTGGCTTTAATGAATCAGACGCCGACTTTGGCGTCGTTGATTGTAGGTACATCGGCAGAGAGAAAAATGAAGCGACGACGAGGCGAGGCCTCCGCGTGTATATACACCTCGATCGCGGGACGGGATACACGGAAAGTCGTACACCTACGTCGAAAGAAGGCAGAGAGGAAAAAGAAGAGAAAAAAAAAAAAAAAAAAAAGAGCGAGGTCGTCGCTCGCTCCTCCGTGTCGTCCCGAATATCCGCGAGAGGGTTATTTCGGTGAGAGAGCGTTTCGCGGATAACACCCGTCCGATATGCAGCGACTTCTTTTTCCGCGGGGGTCCCAACTGAGCACCGGTGGAGTCGAGTGAATTCCTCGCGCTATTTTTTCCCCTCCCCCCCCCCTAAGTTTCGCGCGCGTATTTTTGGCAAGGGCGAGTCACGCGCTGCATCGGGGGAAAACAACAAGCCGGGAGATGCTGCTGGCCGAATTTCTTTACTACGGGGAGGACAAAAAAAAAAGGGAGGGACGAGGTCGAGGTGGTTCTCCAGTGATTGTTTTTATGTTGCGACGCGACTTTTGGCGAGTGCGCGCTAATTAGTCGCAAAAAGCGTTTTCTTTCGGCTGTCCTCTCGAGAGAGATGGGATTCGAGTGTAGAGCCTATACAGTCGACGCTGTGCAGCGATACTTTTGTCAATTTTGGGTATCACTCGTCAGACGGTAATAAAAACGAACAGGGATACTTGGTGACAATGATGGCTAGTTTTTTTTTTTTTTTTTTTTTTTTTTTTTTTTTTCAAGCGAAAAACAAAACAAAAGTATCGAGCACAACCTCGATAAAATTTGGCTCTTTATCACGAGTGAGCGACAGATAACAGCACAGGCGAAGCGATAGCGCGTGCAACGGCTCGTACATTTATAATCGCCGACGCAAGCGTCTCAACGAGGATTGTCCGACTTTCCGGGAAGTCGACTGATCGATCGGTCATTGTTGCCAATAATATATTCATGTACATAAAGGTGGATACATACACATCTGAGGCTACTCCAACACAGAACCATACATTGTATGGATTTCGCGATAATTACACTCGTTTCTTTGCCTACATATAAGTATACACCCCAAAGTCGCCGAGAAACAATCATCGTGACAATAAAATTGTCGTTTACGAATAATCTTGTTCCGCGATAAATTAACCTCTCGCAATTGTTTCCAGATTTCGTATCTCATGCATCCATGTGATCGTATTATTTATACCCTGCTAGAGCCCCTTCTGATACCTGTTGGGGGGGAAAAAATACCCAAGGCACGATAAATTAAATACTGCTTGGCTTGCGTAACAGCCATTTCCAATTCGAAATACCAGTTGCCATCCGTAAAAAAAAAAAAACTCGATTTTGCGAATCAGCGTACGGATACAGAACTACTGAAGTCGTAACGAAAAAAAAAAAAAAAAAAAAAAAAAAAAAAAAAAAAAAATGTACGGCGAGGAGATGGAAAAAAAGTTTACCTCTTGGGTGAGCTCGACGGAGGAAGCGGGGCTGAGCTGCGGGTCCGCGTCGAGGAGGGGCGTCTGCGTGGTCTGGGGTGGGTTCGGCGAGGTGTCATTCCCAGCGTCGTCGATCGTGGCCTCGGTGCTCGTCCCGGCTTTGTCGTTGACGTTGAGCAGGTACGCGTGTATGTCGTTGTGCGCGGAGTTTATTCTGTTGTAGCGGCCAAGGGCGTTCAAGTCCTCGAAGAGGTCCCTCTCGTAGCTCAACAGGAGCGAGTCGAGGTTCTTCGGGTGGACGTAAACCGGCCGGTGGACGATGGTCCGGGCGTCCGTGTGCCAGCCCGAGCCGCTGTTCAGGCCGAGCGAGCCCACGCGGATCGTCTGGATGTCCAGGCCCAGGTAGGAGTCCGGGTCCACCCGCAGCAGAGACAGCAGGAGCGCCAGCTGCAGCAGCTCGTCGCCGTAAAACTTCTTCAGGCTCAGCATTTCGATTTTTTTTTTTTTTTTTTTTTATTCTACTTCCTTTTTTACTTTGGCAGTCTCTTTCTCTGGCAAGTTTTTTTTTTATTAGTTTTTACAGGTACTGGCAGGCAGTCTTGGCAACAGCCGATGGTATTGTACACGCAAGACACTTGACTTGGTTTTTGTTTTTCTTCTTCTTAAGTACTCTATATTCTATTAATTCATCACGGATTCACTACAACCAGTTGCTGCACAGTCACTTTGCGCGGTCATTGCTAGCTGCAAGAAGTCAGTGAGACATCGTAACGAACGAGATTTCGGTATTTCTGCACTTCACTGTCCCACAAACGCGTACAGTTGGGAAGGAACATCATTTTCGTTTCACTTCTAGTCATTACCATCATCATTAATATTATTAATATTATTAACAATCATGACTTGGGCAAACGTGTAGTGTAGGTATTTCGTCGGTTATTTTGCTTTGTTGTCACTCGTGCAATGATCACCTTTACCAATTTCACCTGTGGCAGTGTAGGTTGACTCTTTGAAGCGCGTGTAAAGTGAAAAAAAAAAAAAAAAAAAAAGATTAGATTTCTGTAATCTGTTGTTTCTGCAAGCACCTACACCGACATGTGTATCGGTACAAAAATATAATTGAGCTGATTGCGGGGACTTGACTTGGCTAAAAAGAAAAAGAGTTGCCGCACCGAATTTTAAAAATCAACTCAAATAATTGGTAAAACAATGTACAACCATCTTCGTTTTTTATAACGCTTTTTCAAATCCACCGCGCGTTAGCCATTGAACTGACGGATCTACATGGAGTTACACGCTTTCTCCCTCCAAATGTATAATATATATGTATACAGCCTCTTGTGTAAAATACCTATAGTCGTCACAGGTGGTTTTATGATTGACGGATGCTGCAGTGTACAGATCTGATGATGACCACCAAAGTCAACGGCAGTTAGGTACTACATATATAATAATACACATACACGAGGGCTGACTTATGTATATATGTACTATATAAGTATATGCACACACACACACAGTAGTAGATCGGCGTCAAATCGGAGCAGAAATCAGCTGACGAGGCGCAGAGTATAGGTAAACAAACCTCGGAGCAGTACTCTCTGAACTGTAGTGTTGTGGAGAGCAGCTATCGAGAACTGCACGGGTGGGCAGTGCGTAATCGTTCAGAACTGCATCAGGGCCATGGCACTCGTTGTTCCGAATGATATTAGGAGACAGTGACACTAGAACTGATGCAGAAAGGAGTCGCGATAGCCTCACAAGAGAACAGGAGCGGCTCGCGAGCATGTCATCTTCGCAACCACGACGCAAAAGCAACAGCCGAGCCAGTCAGTCCAGTCGCGGCTCGGGAAGCAGTTCTCGAGCTGCTCCGTGTTTGCTGATGTGCATGCAATGTGGGGGTTTCAAAGGTACCTCTATATACGCGTGTGCATTATCCTCCTCTCTTGTGCTTTTTCCTCTTCGTTTGGCTGGCTTGCTCAGCCGGTTCGGATGTATAATATAACGTGCGATGTCTCACTCAGTTGCCACTGCACAAGATACACAAATCATAACCTCGATTGAGAAATATTACAATTATCAATGATAATGACACAAAACACCAAACATTTGCACTATCCATACAACAAATTGATTGTATATGATGCAATGCACCCCCTGTACAGTGTTCTACTAGTCTTGCAGTTCGTTTGAATCTCCCGCTGTACGTTGGAATCACCACCGTCGCCGCCACTGTCGTTCGTGTCGTGTGCTAGCCATCGGCGTGCTCCGATTTTCGGTTGCTGTTGATGTGCTGGCCGTTTGTTTTTACTCGATGCTCTGTTTCCCGATTGCACTCATTTACGTTCACAGTTCACAGTTGATGCTACTTGATTTGTTTTTTTTTTTTTATATTTCCAATCCTTTGAAAATAGCACTCGATGCACTTTATGATTAATAAGGTGAAGGCACCGATAGCCGGGACAACCTCAAAAGCACAGTTAAACTGACTCAACTGACGCAAGATGCAATAAAACTACGCTACACGCCACTACCGTACGTATATATATATATATGCAACCACAGGTATGTATATATATATGTTGTACTTGACGCAGCTCTCTCTGTTGTCTGTCGGTATGTGGATGTCCAGTCGGCTGTCTGATTCTACTCGTACTACCATACTATACTTGGGAAGCTCGAGTAAGTATACAGGGCGCACGCGTTGACGCGCGGTTCTCGCGGTGTGTGTGTGCGTGAGATGGTGTGACTCAGCAAGCAACGCAATCCAGCTCACGTCGTCGCTGCCGCACTCGCTCCTCGCGCCCGCATATGCAGGGCCTTCGACACGGCGTGTCCATCAGGAGTGTAGCCTGTGACTTACGAACCCCGTCTTCAAAGGTACATTGGTAATAACTTATAAATTATATATTTACTTTACCCTGCAAGTGTGCAAAATATTAGCCCTCCCCCGATCACGCAATTGCCTCCGTTTCCCGAAAGCATAAAGTTAAGGGTACCCTAAACCTTTACTTCACATTTTATTTCAATAACTTCCGTTACTTACAATGCCCTATAATTTGGCCCACTTGCAATACCCTCTGTAATTGCTACATCGTTGTTATATTTATATTAAATTTTAATTTACTGTAAGTTAATATTTGCTTAGGATTTGCATGTGCGCTGTTGCCGAAATCTAAAAACAATAATTATAGTACTAGGTACCATTGTGGGTTAATACAGTAACAATGCTATGATAAAACAGTATTTCAGATGATGAGGAAAGGAAAAAAAAACATTGCAATTATGTGTTGCGATACAAAATTGGAGTATCTGACCTAGCGTGTGACATGTGCATCTACGAATTTCCTTGAAACATCCTTACGCAGGATAATTATTCTGCTTTAAAGTCCTTTCACTCAACTCATTTTGGTCAAAAGAAAATTCATTTATTTGCTTTTTATCGTGATTTTCTCACCTGAATAAAATAAAAAGAACGCCAGTTCTATTTTGAAAAATGAAAGCAGTTGGGCTTTTCCCAAACGGTCAATTATGTAAGTATGAAAGAACCAGTCAACGTAATTTATCAATGATACCTGAGAATGAAAATTTGAAGGGTCGGCCAACCCATTCAACGCAAAGACCTTTCCAAAAGAGTCCGTGTATTACCGTAATCTTTTCTATTTTATTTCTCGAAAACTTTGAACGTAACGTGGACTTCCTAAAATTTTGCTATTTATATTTGTGGTGATAAAACAATCATTGACGTATTATGAAAATATCAATTGCCTCTTTCGTATAGTATACTAAAGCTACGTAACATCGAAAAAAATTACTTAGTTTCAAGAAAATATTTACTTGATTATAGTTCGAAGTAAATAATCTTTTAAAAAAAGATAAAATTTTTTTTACATGAACAAAATATTCATTTCAATAAAGAAAATTTCTTGACGTATAAATGTTGTCTTATTTCAAGAGAACATTTACTTTGAACTACACTGTAAAATATATTTTTCTGATTCTAAAAATTTTTTTTGCTGTGAACAGATTATCTACCGAATCGACTCGTCGACAAAGTAGAACTTGACAAACTTTTTTTTTCTTCAATCACACTCTGTTCATAAAGTCCTCGTAAAAAAGCTTATGAATAATTGATGAACATGATCCTTTTTGTTGCATTTCACTTGAATTGTAAAAATCAGAGTTTTTAAATTTCACCTAGTAGTATTGCAATTTCTCATGCAACATTGTTTCTTTCTTATAAAATAAAAACTAAGTACAGATTTGCTAAGACGTAACGTTGCGCTAGACCAAACGGTGACTGTATATACACCCACTTATCTATATCTTTTCATAATAGGGAGAGCTATTATCGATGAATTTGAATTTTGCGTGATTACTTCAATAAATTATTGTATGGGTAGGCGTGACATAATACGTAATCTAGAATCATATTTCAAATTATTTTTGCGAATCCAGTGGTAATTGCGGGTAATGGTTCATAATTAACTGAAGCGGGAGTAATGCGATGAATTTTCACTACGATATTTCCGAGCGATTGAGCAGTGATAGCGACCGCGCGTATAGATGCCGATTGTCAATAAAAAAGGCGCCTATTAATAGCAGTCGTCAGATGGAAAATTTTTATCTTAGAAAAACTACAGAGTTCGTAAAGAAAAATGATTTGTTTCAATTTAAATATTTTTTTTGTTCGAACAGCTGACCTTGCCCTCCGCTCATGAACGCAATGTACAAAAAATCTTTACTGATATCCAGTTGAAAAAACGGAGTATGATAGAAGAAGTGATTTTTTTCATTGATGGTCGCGATATTAGTTCAGCATGACACGAGCAATGCTTATTTCGAAAAGAAAGCGTTGGGGATGTCGATTATCGTTTACCCTCCGGAAGGCAAGTGTTTTCTTTACGATTTAAAAATTTTATCGGCAGTGCTCAGTCAAACACATTATTGTACTCCATACAAACGATGGTCAAATTATTCCACTTTTATGTTTGAGATTTTTTTTTTTTTTTTAATTCCATCAGAAGCATCTACATGACGTAGAGGAAACTTGTAACTTTTGCAAGCTGGTGTTATCTTTATCTCTTAAAAATTTAGCGCCACACGTGCATAAATATTTTTTTATTAATTAACTGTTGACATTAGCACGCGCCGATTTAAATGTGAGCTTTTGACGCGACAGGTGAAATTTTTGATTAACACGAAGAATCAGTGTTTCCCGATCCCAACGAAGATCTAGTCCGTTGTTCATTCCTCAGCCGGTCGATCAAGTAAAAATGTACAAGCCATGATCATAGGAAACAAAAAATGTTGGACAGTTTAATTGAGCGGAGGCGAGAGCTGCATGATATTTTCGTGACATTTTTCTTGCCAAATTCTCGAGGAAAAGAAATCCTTTCCTACCACGCACATTTGCATGAAACACTCGTTGCAATTTTTAAAAAATTAGTATTCGGCAAATAGTGAAGAAAAAGAAAAAAAAAAGAAAAAAAGAAGTTTTTTAAACGAAAACAATAAAAATCTCTGTGTAGGCAAATCGAGAGTCACAGCAGCCGAGCAGCGGCACTATACGCGCGCAGATCGGCTGTTGCACAATCAATTGGCGTAAATGCGAACGTGTACGTGCACACGAGAATATCCATAAGACAGTGTAGGTGCGCGAAGGAAGATTCCAAAGAGTATGGGTGTTGGTCAAAAGGTATACAGAAGAAGAGTTGGGGAACTGACCTCGTCGATCTCCGTGGCACGGGGATCCCCCGGTTTTCCTCGGCACGGCATCGCGGTCGGCGACAGCGTCCGCATCCTCGGCAAGTCATCCGCCACTTGTATCCTCATTATGCGGCCGCTACGCTGCAGCTCTGCTCCTTGACCATAAACGAGGCTTGTCGTGTGCTGTTTGTTGCACTCGCATACGTGTCATACGACGCTGCAAGTACCCACTGCCGCGTCGAGCATACTACAGTACATTTATTATTGCAGCAGATGTACACGGTAATGTGGCAAAAGGTATATACACTACCCTCTTATCACTCTCGGACACTTGAGACCCGTGCATATATACCTATACAATAATCATATTAATAATGATAATGATAACAACATTTTAGTACTTACTTACTGCTCGACCGCGTACTCCACGCGTTGACGCCTGTTTTCGATTTCGCGAGATGGAGCCGGCCGATACGTGCGCACACGATCTGCGCGCTCCTCGGGAACTCGAGAGAGTCGCGTAAATGCGCGTGTATTCGCACGTTCTTCGGGAGTAGTTGTAGCTGCGAAGCAAATGATAATACGTATAAAATATAATTATATATATATATATAGAGAGAGAGAGAGGAGGAGTTGATGGTAACGAGAGTTGGGTGCCCGAGTGGAAGTATGATAGATAACGAATTNCATGGTACAAGAAGAAGTTGTATATATTAAAAAAAGTATAAAATATAATTATATATATATATATAGAGAGAGAGAGAGGAGGAGTTGATGGTAACGAGAGTTGGGTGCCCGAGTGGAAGTATGATAGATAACGAATTACGTTCCTTGGGGTCCTTGCTCGTGTAGTAGCTGAGGAGGAGTTGATGGTAACGAGAGTTGGGTGCCCGAGTGGAAGTATGATAGATAACGAATTACGTGGCGGCAGCGGTGCTGTATATGAGAGCTCGGAGATACGCGTCATTCAATAGCAGTTGTAAACGGGAGATTACGCGGGGGAAAAAAAAAGCCCTGGGTGGCGATTGGATGATTTTCTTTTCCTCTCGTGTTTGCACGTCGCGTTGATCGCGGACTCATTTCTGAAAGGAGCCGCTCTGAGTCTACTGGAAGGGCACAATTGTTAGAAAAATTTTTTTTTTTCCTGTAAGTAAAGTGCATTACTTTTTTTTTTTTTTTTTTTTTTTTCCTAAAAAAAAGTTTTTTCCCGATAATAAATACAATGGGGTTGATTTTTGAAATTGAAGTCACAAAGTATTCGAAATTCAAGGTTTTTTGCATACTTCCGATGGTTTTTTTTTCTTTATTGTTCTTCTGTTGGAAATTGTAGCACTTTTGTTTAAATTTAATTTTTTGAAGCAATACTCGTTACTTAATTTAAAGTCTGGTACCTCGATCTTTCGTACCAATTAGGGTCGCACATGCGTTGCACNTGAAAGGAGCCGCTCTGAGTCTACTGGAAGGGCACAATTGTTAGAAAAATTTTTTTTTTCCTGTAAGTAAAGTGCATTACTTTTTTTTTTTTTTTTTTCCTAAAAAAAAGTTTTTTCCCGATAATAAATACAATGGGGTTGATTTTTGAAATTGAAGTCACAAAGTATTCGAAATTCAAGGTTTTTTGCATACTTCCGATGGTTTTTTTTTCTTTATTGTTCTTCTGTTGGAAATTGTAGCACTTTTGTTTAAATTTAATTTTTTGAAGCAATACTCGTTACTTAATTTAAAGTCTGGTACCTCGATCTTTCGTACCAATTAGGGTCGCACATGCGTTGCACTAGTAGCCAATCAGCACGGTCCTATACTTAACTGTACCGAAAGGTAAGTCGTATTGCGCTCGTCTGTAAATAGTTTTCCTTATTTTTCAC